GATGCATCGGGAAGCGGCTTCAATTTCTTTATTTTCTTTTACTAAAGATAGTAGAAGCAGTAACTGATCTGTTCTACGCGAATACTCTCTATTCTTTTTCGTCTTAGGTTGTAAACAGTGACATTTCTGTGAAGCAAGATGTATCTTTTTACTTTTCACTTCAACAATACTGCCTCCGCATTGTTGAAGAGCTGAAAACAGCAGAGAAGGTGTTGCTGCAACAAGGAGAGGGGAGATAAGTTGTTTGTTTTAATGTTTCTTTTCCTTATATGTGTGTGCTGTTATTTATATATGCAAGGCGAATATTTACTTTATTCTTTTTAGTTTGAAGTTCGAGCTGCCCCTTCCATCGACTGTATCTACTTAATAAGACAGTTGCTGCCTTTGTTATCTACGAATACTACGCCTATTTCGCAAGTAAAACTTTATAGAGTTTACTGTTTAGGGTTTAGGGTTTGGGGTTTAAGTTCAACCCGTTTTCATCGGTTATTAAGCATCAAATGGATGATAAAACTGAAGAATAGTAAAAGAAAAAAAAGAATAAAGAAGGAAAAATAATAGAAAGGCAATAAGCAGTTTTCTTCTGTGAATAAATCAGCGAGATGTTGCAGTACTAACATCAGCAAAGCGAATAAATTGAAACAAAGTAAAACAATAAGCCGATAAATTAACACAAATTAAATTAAATTAAATTAAATTGATTAAACTAAGTTAAATTAATTAAATTAAATAAATTAACTTGAATTAAATTAATAAAATAAACTTAAAAACCCCTCAAATATCGAATCGAGTCTATCACCATTGGGGGCATCAGCTTCGTGTTGTTGGGGGTATTGTTTGCGGTGTATATTTTGCTGCATAGGGGCCTAAATTTGATAAAATTGCTTTAAATGAATTAAATAAAATTAAAAGGAAGAAAAAATGAATTATATTTTGAGGATAAAAAGGAAAAAGCAAAGAAAGAAGAACGATGGGCGGCGGTTCGTCCGATGCTATGCATGTGTTTATTGTTTACTTAATTTAAGAGGTAATAAAGACAAATTTATATCATTTTGAATTTTATTTTTTAAATTAAATTAAATTAATATAAAATTGATTCAATTTAAATTTATTTTATTGCAAATACTATTTATTCAAACCCACAAACTACTAACAAGACCAACGGACGGCAGCCATTCGATAAGGCTTCTTCTTTCCTAGTTTTGTTTATCGATTATTTTCGTTTTTTCTCGCGTTTTACATCTTTAAATTGTTTTTATTGTTTAATTCTTTCATTATTTTATTCATTTTATCCTTTTCTTCCTTTTTTCCTGGTTTTCTCTCGCCTTTTGACGCACCGGGTACTCCTGTCTGTACAGCATATATAAAATAAATGAAAGAAGAAGAGGATAGAGAAGCCAAACAAAGCTCAAAAAAGAAATACTAAAGTATTTAATAAACGATAATAACTCAAAATAACAACAACTAATACTCATAAAGGAGAAAGTGGTGGTTTGTAAGAGACATAATCCTTGAAAAAGAGAAGATGGAGGCAAATACTAAGGAAGAAAATATAAAAAAGCAGTTGAAAGAGAAGAACGAAGTAAACAGACAATCATTTGAATATATTAAACCTAATTCGAATGAAGCCCCAAACACAGCAGCAAATAGAAGTACAAATGCACAAAGTTTAGAGACAACAACTGCAAACAAAACCCAAAAAGAAATATCGAATTTTCAAAAAGCTAAAAATATGTGGCAAGAGAAATTAGACGGGGTAATCGCTAGAAGAGAACAAGAAAAAATAATGGTTAGTTTATTTGTATATCTTCGCTTTTTTATTTATTCTGTTTCTTTTCTTTTCTTCTTTGGTTTTGTTTTTTCGTGCTGCTCCTTCTCGTTTTTCTGTGTCTATGATTTTAATGTTAATTAAAATTAAATTTAATTACTTAATTTATTCATTTTTAATTTTAATTACGTTATTTTTGTTATTATTTTGCTGTGATGTTTTCTAACTGTGGTTTTATTAATATATTTTTTAAATTATAATTTATTGTACGTTGAGTTCAGCGGGGTAATTTTGTTTGCTTTTCATGTTAATTGAAATTAAATTGAATTATTTAATTAATACATTATTAATTTTAATAATATTGTTCTTGTTTATTTACATTCTTACTGGGGTTCTTACTGTTTTGCTTAATGTATTCCTCGTTTTGTTTTTTTGTTTTTTTGTTTTATTGTTTTCTTTTGTTTGTTTTGCTGTGAATTTTGTTTTTTATTATTTTCGTTTATTTGTTTGTTTTTTGCTGTTTCTTTTTGTTTGTTTTTTCTTCATGGGGGTTTAAATGAATTACATCTTCCCTCTCTTTTTCTTTTTTGTTTTTTCTTCTTTTTCTCTTTTCTGTTTAAATAGGGTAATTTATTAGACTAATTTGGGTTTTATGTTTTGTCTATTAATTTTATTTTTCTTTTTTTTCTCGCTTCTATGCCGCGTCTCGAACTCTCTTAGCATCTGCTGCTTCCGCCTTGTTTTCTTCTTTTTATTTTGTTGTTTTCTTTGCCTTTTTTGTTTTTCTTCTTTTGTTTTATCATTATTTCTTCTTTAATTGTTTTTACGTCTTTGCTGTTAGGGCCATCGTTTTTCTTCTTTTTTTTTCTTCTATCTGAGTGGTTAGACAGCAAACAAAGAAGTGTTTATTATTATTATTATTATTATTATTATGTTTGTTAAAGTTGAATATAAATCGAAATACTCTTTAATATTGTTTTTACTTTATTTATAACGCACAATAATAATATTATTTTTAATTATTTTATGTTGTTTCAACAGGCGGAAGTGCAGCGGAGAGATGCAGCAAGAAGAGAAAGCGAAAGACAGACATTTGCTTTACTACAGTCGGAAGGGTTTAATATAATTAAATTAAAATATAGAAAAGAAGAAGCGTATGATCATCTATTAGCACAGCAATTAGCAGAAGAAGAAACAAGAAAATATCAACAAGAAGAAGAAGACAGAAGAACTGCAGCTTCCATCGCTTACGCCTACGAAGAAGAAATCAAAAATAAAACACAAGTACTTTCACCATACAAATGCAGCATTATATATATATATATATAAACATAAATATATATATATATATATAAGTATAATATATATATATATACTTTGTGTGTTGCTTGCTGCAGGAGGAGGCTACCGCCAGCGGATATATCTGAAGATTTGTTGGAGGGGGAAGAAAGAAAAAAGAAAATTTATTTTATTTGTATTGCATCAAATGAAAGAAGACAAAAGACAATATGCTAATTAAAACAAAAACGGGAGACAGCCATTGACGTTTCTTTTCTCGTTTGCATAATAATAATAAACAAAAAACTTATCTTCCTGTACAGGGTAAAACTAATAAATAAGTTAAACGACGAAGAACAAAATGCTTCTTCTTTACAAACACTTCTGTTATTTTTATTAACTGTCGCTAGCAGAAGCTAGCCGTTACTGGCCGTAGCTAGCTACAGCTAGCTGTAGCTAGCTGTATCTGGCCTTAGCTAGCTACAGCTACCTGTAGCTAGCTTCAGCTACCCGTAGCTAGCCGTAGCTAGCTACAGCTAGCTAGGTGAGGCTAGCTGCAGTTGGCCGTAGCTAGCTACAGCTAGCCTTAGCTAGTTTTACATTGCCGTAGCTAGCTACAGCTAGCTGAGGCTAGCTGTAGCTAGCTAAGGCCAGCTACAGCTAGCTAAAGGCTAGCTGTAGCTAGCTGCAGCTAGCAGGGAGATGGGGGCGTCCTGCGGCTGAGTGCATTAATTTGTTTTGAAGAAAAACTTTAAAATGATGAAATGCCTTTAAATATCTTTTTATACTCGTGGAGAGTCTAAAGAAGAATGCAAGAAGTATTTATTTTCTTTTTATTTTATTTATGAAGAAATACTTCCTTAATAATTTATCTATTCGTATTCATCTGTCTACTTACCTGCGAGATAGTTGCATATATATTCATTTATTTTTCTCTTTACTTGTCTATATTTCTGTGTACGTAGATGTATTCTTCTATTTACTTGTTCTCTCTCTCTATTTGTATATGTATGTCAATATACTTTTCTATTTATTTAGTTGTGTTTGTTTTCCTATATATATGTATATATATATACCCATTTGTATCTATTTTTCCTGTTTTTGTCCTATTTGCCTGTAGTTTTTCACATATATATATATATATATATATGTGCATATACATATGTATATGTACATATTATCTACTTAGTTGTATTTATTTTTCTACTTGCTATTATTCATATTTCTATTCATTTATATATCAATTCGGTTCTACTTATCTTCCTGTTTACTTGTACTTAGTTCTCTATTTAATTTCGCCAACCTTTTTCTATTTGTTTGTATATACTTTTCTATTCAATTCCATTTCTTTATCTCTGTTTACTTACTCATCTATTTACCTTGCATAAATATATATATATATATATGTATATATACTCGTATTTATGTGCGTATTGGTTTTCTATTTCTATTGTTAAATATATTTCCACATATATTTTAATTTGCTTGTGCTTTCGACGAGCAACTCGTTATGAAACGTTAGCAATAAAGAAGAGAAGAGATGAAAGAAGAGAAAAAATGAAGAAAGTTGCCTCCTGGCATGAGTTTGTAGAATTAAACAACAAAAGAAAAACAGCAGTTAACTCTCTGCATTTCTATTTTGTTGTTATTTCTTCCTATTTATTCCTTTGAATGCGTGTTGCTGAATATTCATATTCATGATCATAACAATACGTATAAATATTCAAGAATATTTGTGCATATTCATGAATATTTATAAATATTTATGATTCCTTTTCTATTTCTTTTCTTGTTTCTTCTTGGATCGCTCCAATTTGTCTATATCATAATGCAAATAATGCACGTTCCTCTTCTTTGTTTCTTAGCACACCGCCAGCAGAAAAAAGGGTATTTCAACGAAAATCTCGTCGTTTTTTAAACTATAAAGTATCCTTTACATAATCTTTATTTCAATTTACTTGCTTTTCCCCTTCTTTTCTTCTTCCGGCGCGAAGAGGGACCCCGCTCGCAGCCCACCCCCACGAACTATTGCTAGAGCTTCTTCTGCTTGTTCGCTTCTGTCTGCTGTTTTATCGCTCGTAAGAGGAGCACTATGAGGGTTCTTCTCCATCTCTGCCTTTAACTCCTCTTTGGCTGCCTCCATCGCACCCTGAAAGTCTAGAAAAGGTAATTCCGGGCGCTCTGTTTTTACGCTGCTTCCTGCTCCTAGCACAGCTCGCACACGATCAAGGAAAGCTTTTGCTTCATCTGTGCTTGTAGAGTTAAACATTGTAATTGCTGCTTCGCTTAACTGTTTCATGCTATTTTCTCCTTCATCTCCAGACTCTCCTTCAGCCGGATGAATAAACTGTTCTGTAGCAAGGAATTCCTCTAGTTCTTCTTTTAATTCAAGAGGCTTTGTTGCAGGTACATGTTCGTCACCGTCTTTATCAATAAGTATATTTTCCACAGAGTTATCTTCAAAGTCTTTTAATGCTTCCTGCTCTGCCTCAACCATACTCTCAAGAGAAACAACAAGAGCCCCGAGATCTTTCTTTGCTCCTGTAGCACGGATAATATCACCTGGAGTAACACCATTTACCATTAAAGCCCTTAATAGATATTTCTTATGATCAGGACAAGGTTTAGTAGAGGCTACTCGTCGAATAGAAGCAAGAGATTTTAAGAGATCTGGATGGGAATCTGATAAAGCACCATATATGAATGCGGGTTCAACTAAATAGCCGAAAGGGCAGGGAGAAACAGCAGCAAAAACAAAAATTGTTGAAGCAATGCGACACCCTGGAGCTCTCATAACAATAAATTGTATGAAAGCAACAATAGTTGAGAATAATGCATCTAGTAGATTCCTTTCATACCGACTAATACATATAGCTGCAGAGTTATCTGTCTTAAATCTGCATTTCGCTATTTCTTCCGGGACGAAGCCGTTTAGAAAGAATAATGCAAAAGAAATAAACGCTCGCTGAAGCGTACCGTACCCCATATTCATATCTCTTCCTTTGCGGCCACCAGGAGGTAAAGAAAGCAGCAAATTGCCCTTACCTCCTAATCGCTTGTGCAAGTCTGCTGCTGCTGCTTTCCAGGACTCTGGAAGTCGTGCAGCTCGCATTTGATATGCAAAAGCAGTCTGCCATGCTCGTGCAATTTTCACAAAAGGAGAAGGACTGTGTAGATAAACTAATTCCCGCTGTGCTTCCCCAAGCTCATCAAATAAACCATGCCTTATATATCTATCATACAGATCTCCTGCTACAGATCGGGTTGCCTTCCCTACAGCAGTCTTAACCATCTTAGTTCTCCCAAGCTTACCAAACAAACCATCTGGTGCTCCTAAGGCAAATGATATACGCTGAAGCCCATTATGATGCTGATGCTGCTCATGCTGCTGATAATAATTAAGAGGCAGCAACAGCAACAAGCATACAGCTGCTACTGCCCAACCGGCTCGCTGCAAGCCGCGTAAGATAAACCCCATCGCACCTGCTATCACTAGATAAGATCTACGTAACAGACTCTACAAAAAATAGGAGGAAATAGGCCGCTGCTGCTGATGCTGCAGCTGCTGCGGCTGCGGCTGCTGCGGGTATGCTGCTGCTGCCGCTGCCGATGCTGCTGCTGCTGCTGCTGCGACCTACAGCAGCAAATCGAGGCCCTCACAGGACCAGAAAATATAGAAGAGAAGAAATGAAGATGCAAAGTCTGAGAGGCAGGGAAAGAAGACGTAGCCAAGGAAAAGAAGGGAGGCCGTGGGGCGGCTGCCGATGGAGCAGGGGCTGAGAAGACAAAAAATAATATCTAAACGCTTTTATTAATTACTTTTAAAGTATTTAAACATAAATCAAAACGGAACATTCGTCAATACAACGAGAGGCTTCCCTGCTGCAGGGTGCTTAAGGGAGGGCAGCAGTCTGTCGCTCTTACTTCAGCAGCAACAGACTATAGGGGCTGGCTATATAAGTTTTTCTTTTTTCTGTATTAATTTCATTACAATATCTTTTTTAAAAGACTGTTTTCAATTATTAAAACAAAAAATCAAACAATTCAATTATATAACTAACTTAGCTTACACTACACACCTCAGCTTGCTGCCTTCTTCTCTTCAGTCCCGTAGGTCGAGGAGGAGGGGCTCCAAATGCTCTTGAGGGTTTGTTTAACTTTTTAGGCGTCTCTCTAAGAAATAAAAGAAAGAATTAATGTTTTTAAAGCGCCTGCATGCAGATTAATACGTTTAATAACGGCATACCCTCGGCGTCGCTGTGCATCCCTTCATTTAGAGGCATTCGTCAGCGACAGATAAACTTTTCTTAGCCTTCAGAGACAGCCTGCATGCAAACGGAAACAAAACAAATATCTGCAATGTCCTTACAGAGAGCAAATGGGCTATTGTATGCGCCTGCATGCGGAGGCGCCGTGCAGCATTAGCAACGATGATATGTGCTGTAGTTAAGCTGGCCCCCTCTACCCCAGCAGCAGGCAGCCCCATAGGCTATACACCTCAGAATGTTTAGAGACGAGAGAGGCGGCTATCAGCTGCTGCTTAGGAGCTATTCCCTGTAGTCTTGTAAATCGTTTACACCTCATAACACCTGTAGATCCGCAGTATACTCCCTCTACCAGATGCAAATAATGATAGTCTTTGATCTTATGACATTACCACTGCAAGCCTAAGTAGAGAGATAAACCACTCAAGAGACGAACTCACCACTCGGGGCTTGCTCGATAAAGCCAGCAAAGAGGCCTGGGACTGGTGAAGTAAAATGGGCTGTATGTGAAAATATGCATGCATGTTGATGCATGTCCTGTCTGATGGTGCTGTTACGTGCACTTCTATTTGCATGCTGCCTACCTAATGATGATCGAAGAAATCTTTAGCAGTGCTCTACACTGATAGTGCATGCAGCAACAGGATAAATGACTGTGCTGGGATGTGGGGTCGCCTTGCCGCAGGAGTTGCAGCACGCTGTGCTGCATTTCATTAACAGACACCCTTTTATATCATCTTCAGGCCCTGTAGTAGCACAGCATTGCTCAGAGGGGTACAGCTGAGTGGCCTGACGCGCAGCTCTGAACACTTGTTAAAGCGCTTCACAGAGCATGCAAAGACGAAAAACTCTGCAGATATCCTCTCCAAAAATAACCGCCATACATTTAGCCACTTTCATTCTCTCGCACAGTTGAGGCTGATCAGGATCCGGCCTACGGGGGCGAAGTGACGAGCACAAACAAACAAACGAACAAAACAAAACAAAACAAAACAAGAAACAAAGAAACAAAGAAGCAAACAGTGGGCTCCTCGTCGCCTTGGATCTAGTGCAACATCCACAGCTCAACCATATGAAAATGTCTCTCTAACAAAAACACTTCATGAGGAATGATTCTTCTCTGCATTCGCTGGCAGCCCAGATATGATAAGTTTCAGGAAAGGGAGGGTCTGGAGTCGCTGGGTGTCTCTCGAGGTGTACGTACGTCGTAAGAATATACACAGGGAGAGATCCACTTGCTGTAGACCTTCATTTGATTATTAGGCGTGTCAATGGTAGCTATATCAAAGGAACGCCACCGCCTCCCCGGGGCGCATGCAAACTGTGGAGAGTTTCTGAGATTTAAGTTGGCGGGGGAAGCAGCAACGGCAGCAGCGGGTAGAGTTAACTCGGGAAGCTACCAGCACAGCATTACTTGGAGGAGTATCACTCCTTAGTAAATAGATATTCAAAGGAAGACCCCGAACGCCTATGTTAATGCTTCATTGCAATTCTATCCTCTGAAGAGGGGCAACCTGTAACCGTGTAGGAACCGGAGCAAGCAACAAAAGTAGAAAGGGTGAAGCTGTAGCTCTACTCCTTGATAATAGATGTCGTTTACGCACTAAAGAGAGGAAAGACTCCATTTCACTAGCCTTAGATAGAGAGGAAAAGGCTGGTTTTGAGGTGGCCTAGATATCAAGTCTAAATATAATATTGCAGCGGTGAGCGGCAGCCCTTTGGGTAAGTACATCGAAGGGAGAGCAGATGGTAGCCGTTGGCTCCGGCACTCACAATGCGGTGGGGAGGTAAGAAGAGGCGCTTTTGCTTCGTTTGCAGTAAACAAAGTCAAATAATGCAAGATTGCAAAGGAGTGGAAACAGCTATGCAATGGTAACTTCGGAAGGTGTGGAAAGCCGAACAAAAAGAGCGACACGAGATACACCCTGGCATCCAAGGAAGGTGCAGCTCAGCGATAGTTCCTGAAAAGGTGACAACACCAACTGCATAGTCTCCTGGAATCAATTCAGCGGGAGTTCATTTGATGAAGGAGCCCCGGCGAGAGGCTGACTCTTACCTTTCTGTATATGTCTCTGCAACTACGGTTCAAAGTGGGTTTTATTACCATGCTACAGGTCTTCTCCAGGTCTTCTCCATCTCTTCTCCGTTGGGGGAGCTCAGTACGAAATAATCCTACGCATGCCGTGGATGACTCAGTGTGGGGCCCGCATGAGGCCCCCGGGAGGCACCATTAACATCTTTGTCTAGCAGCAATGAGAGAGTGTACCTGTCAGTGCTCCTAACAACATCTGCATTCACTTTGATAAAAGGAGAAGAATCAAAGAAAGAAAAGAAGAGCGAAAGCTCCAGTGTATCGTAGGGGTGCTGCAGTTAACGGCGGAGAATTGCATGCACTCAGGCATGCTGGTCTTGCAAAGGTCCCGGGTTTGAGGAATTTAATATAATTATCACCCCAGCAGCAGGTGAGGGCACAACTCTCTGCTTCTCATGTGCAGTAAATTACAAGAAACTTCCAGCTGTCTATCCACCCCCTGGACGCCCAATGCACAGCGTCGAAGACAGTAGCAGAGCGGCGAAGATGGAAGCTGCAAACATCAAAGGTGCCCCAACCCACATATATAAAAAAAAAGAGTGTTGCTGCGGAGAGCGCTAAGGCAGTCAGATATAATAAGGGGAAGGGAGGGGTTTGGATGTTAGCGGGCGAACGATTAGCGCTGGAGAGCCAATAAGTATAAAGAATAAGTGATATCCTTTACTAGCGTGAAGAGGCAAAAGGGTAGACACCTTCTAAGCATGCATTGCTCTATGCATGCCTACGACTGTAGCTGCCGAGGTTAGTATGTGGCTGCTGGCTGACTCAGTTATTACTCTCTTCTTTCTCTTGATTTCTAAACAAGTGTATCTAGGGGTTAATTCCTTCAGTTGTTCCTACGCGCAATGACGTTGTTTCCCTTCTATGGAGGATGTTAAAGGAAGCTTCGGCGGGGGAGGAGAATCCTATGATGGCTTGCATCATAGACTCGAGACCTTCTTAATCATATGCTATTATACTAGCATATAATAGCAAATAATTAAAAACCTCTTTATGTGAAACACTCCGGCTGCTCGCCTTCTGTACATTTCGTAGGGGGTTGAGGAGAATTGCAACGAAATCTTCTGTGACGGAGTTTCATACCCAGCGTTCTTGTGCTTTCTTTTTGCATTCTTGAACCGCTGCCAGATGCCTATGGACGCAGCAGCAGCAGCAACACCAGCAACAGCAGCAGCTGCTGCCTGCGCTGCTGCAGAGATGTCGGGATCGTTTCTGGGATCGATTCCGGGATCGATTCCGGGATCGTCTCCAGCAACAAGTTTCACCCTCAGATAAGATAAGCTAGAGAACATGAGGTTGAGGTGTACGCCGGTATACGAAAACTTTATGGTGTATTATTAATTCATGAGTCAAAAGGAAGGGCATCAAAGACCTTTGATGCACTTTTCTTGATATTAAGCTGCAAATTGTGTACAGGCGAACAGTTCGTTTGTTCTGTTCTACTGTCTGCGTCTGGGTTGTTCTTGGCGGTCTTGTAATGTTTGTTATTTCTCTGCATAATAAACTCGCGTTCGGAGCTTCAAATAAATATCTATTATCTTTCAATAGCGATGATAGTTTTATTAAAGCAATGGGACGCCTACAGATATTAACTAATGCGTCTGCAGTCTCCCTCTGCGTTCTCTGAAGACGACGAGCAGCAGCTAAAAGGAGTTAAACACAAACTCTATGCGCAGCATTACACCGTCTCTGACTGAAGAAACATTTACGATAAACGAACTTCACTTAAAGATATATCTATCTATCTAGACCCGTTCAGAACTAAGAAGAAAAATCTGCATATCTATACATATACTATATATATACATATATATATATATATATGAATATATATATATATATACAGAGAGAGAAAGAGAGTAAATGCAGTTAAGGTCTGTTAAGAGACACTTTGTATTTGTTCGTCTCCTGCCAGTCTTCTTCTGTTTTTTTTGT